TTTTTTTTTTTTTCTTCAAATGTATTTATTTTTTTTCCCCGGCCCTTCCCCTTATCCCTTTGTGTGTGGAATGGGCGGAGATGGGGCGGACTTTTGAGGTGTCGAATTTTTCGGGGGCAGCAGATACCGTGCACTGCCACTCGGGCGTTAGAACGGCCCCTAGAAAAGGGGGTCTCCCAGGATCGAAGGTCCACAGGCGTCTTATTGAGAGCGGAAAGGGATGAGGTCCCGAGGGGGACATCGGCATTGGGGTCTGTCCAGTCAGCTTGCTGGAAAGGGACATGTGCAGGTCCCTCGGCGGATGGCTCAGTGAGCACCCTCCGGATGTGGCAAACAGTCGGTGGTTGGCAGTTCGGAGTCCCGTCTGCACTCTTATAGGGTCCTGCGTGCTTAGCAGCCCCCTTGCAGTCGACGAAGGCGACGTTCCGGGCGTGGGTTTTGGGACCTTGTACTCGAGTTACGAGGGACTCTCTTCACACGCTTTGGGTGGTTTCCAGTTTGCGAGGGACGGGCGAGTCGTGCTTTGGTGGTCGAGCGAACATTTTTGCGGCGCCGTTCGGGTCTATGGTCGTCTCTCTCGGAGGGCTTATTTCACTACAGCTCGGTCGTTGTTGGCGGCGGTTGCAGCTGTCAGGGCTTTCCTATGTCGTGGTGCCGGGTTGTGGATCGTTGCGTTCACCCTCGCTCATCGTCTTGCGATGATTGGCGCCTGATCGCAGACGGCGGTCCGGTTGGCGGTTGTTTGCAGGGTGTGGAGGCGGAGGTGCCCGTCACCGGCTCTCAGCTTCGGCACCATCATCCCGTAGGTTACGGGGAGAGCTGTTGCGTCTCTGTTGTGGTGTCGTCTTCGTGTCCGCACTCACGACGGCGCGTTCCGTTTGTAATGAGGGGGAGTCACGACTTGGTGAGGACTCTGCGCTCTCCGCCATCCGAGCGGCGCCATTGAGCGGCGGCGCAGATGGCCTCGGCCATGCACGCGCTGCTTACCGTATGCGAGGGCGGAGACTTGTGGGATGCGTGATGCACCCTCCGACGGCGTCGCGAGGCTGGGCCTGTCATCCGCCCGACTTTTTGGAATGCGCGCTTGTGCCCGTCGTGTCCGCCATCCTRTGGTCTCGGTATGCTGCACACCGTGACGGATCGCGTTGCGTCGTGGTTCCGTTGCGTTTAGGTTGTGGGCTTCGAAGGCTATTGTCCTCTGTCTCCTGGGTTTCGCTTGCGTCAGGTGCTGTTGGTGGTGCCCGCGGCAACCGGCGGATGTGGAYCCAGGGGGGAGAGGGGTTGTGTTCCTTTTGCGCCCCCGTGCACAGGTGGAGGCTTTCCRTCCGTCCGGGCGTGTTGGAAGCGTGGTGCATTCRTTTCTCTCTTCACCCGCGTTTVTCGATGGAGAGATGAGGCTGTGCACTTCGCTGTCGGTACGTTTTGGGCRGGCGGTGGCATCCGGCTATGGGCCGAAGCTGTCGGTGGTTCCTTCGCACGCGCCGTGGTTCGGGTAGTGTGGTTAACTTGYGATCTCTGGGTGTGGTGTGGGCGGGTGTTGTTCGCAACCAATCTCTTGTGCGGGTGCGGCGGGCTGTGTTGGATTGTGCGGTACCTTGCCATTGGAGATGACCTACGGAGGGAAGTTCACCTGCAATTCAAACAGCCGGACTTAACGCCGTCTCGGCAGCTCATTGCGCGTTCCACGATTGTTCGACGTTGTTTTGGTAGGCTGTTCGGCGTGACGTGCCTACGTGCGCCTCGGCCATCGCTCCTTGCGGCTGCTCGTCATATGCTTGTCTCAAAGACTAAGCCATGCACGTCTAAGTGTGAACACTTTGCACTGTGAAAAGGCATTATTGACCCGGAATGGCAGATTCATGCGTTGCAGCTCAGAAGCCTTSTATGGGTACTGTTAGGAATCATGGGAAGCGCCTGGGAACCATTATCCCACCAGCACATTGCGGCGKCGGCGGGGATCTCTGTGGAARTGGTGCTACTCACCCTGGTATGTCCRGCCTGCATCAAACATGTGAAACGTAATCACGTTTGGTCTACCATGCTGACTTGCTGGAGGGAGATCCAACCTGAGCAATCTCTTCCTTCAACGGCGRACGAGGTGTACAATCAGGTCCTTTTTGGCAACCCCTGTATYTGCACTTTGGAAGGAGATCARTATGCTTGGACCGCTTTTGGGAGACAATGGGCAGAATGTGGGGTGTTCAAAGTTGGCCACCTGTGGTGTGAAGACCGTTGTGACTGGGCCACTGCGGAGCAGATGGCGGAACGGCTCCCCTATCAGCCCCACAGACAGCAGCGATTCAACGAAATTAAGGAGGCAATTCCCACCCAATGGGTGGACTTACTTAGGAGTGACAGTCTGCAGACGGGGGAATGGCTTAGAAGGACAGGCAAGACTCACCCAATGATCCTGTACCTGATCACTGGAATGGAAGGGGACGGTATCGAGACACAACAGTGGGAGGTATCTACCGGCTACGAGGGATTGGGTGCCCCATTGCGGCCCTGTGCGGAAGCAGGGAGGACCATGGTCCAGCGAGTTGAGATGGAGACGGTTGCGGTATGCAGAGGGGGAAGAGCGGGAGGGTTAACCGAAGATTACCTCCCCTTTTCTGTTGGGAAAACCAGGAGGCAACTGCTTGTCGACCCGAAAGAATGGTCCTGGCCCAGGCAAAATCACCACCTCAGGAAAACCCCCCTCCACCAGGTCACGACGAAGATCATGTACCGCTCACTGTTGCCTAAGGTGAACATCCGGGAGGAGCTCGTCAACAGATGGTACAAGCGGGGGTGGGTGCCTGACGCCACGCTGCAGCGATGGAGCCACAAGGCTTGGAGAGAACAGAACGCTTTACTCAAAGCCCTTACCAACCAAAAGCAAGCTGCCCTGTTATGGACAATTTACCACTTGGCAGTCCCTACGGCACAATGGCAGGCGGGTAACAGTCAGTTTCTCGACTCCAGCTGCAGACAGGAGGAATCGATTCCCCACCTGTTTGTGCAATGCCCACAAATTAGGGAGCTGTGGCGATGGTGGGCGAGCGAGATGGAGGATAAAACCCCCCTTCCCGTAACAGAAGATGATGTTGCAGCTATCCTGCTGGGGGCAGTGGTGTCCGTGGCCAGAACGGATAAGCCGCGAATGTATGCAGGAGAGGTGGTACGAGCAGCGATACTATGGGCCATCTGGACTGCAAGGAACGACAGGGTCTGAAGGGGAAAGCCGAGCTCGATTGCACTGCTGAGACAACGATCCCTGGAGGGGATCAGGACGGCAATCACTGCAGAAGCCTCAAGAAATCGAAGATCGCCAACTGCGGGACTGCGGAAATTSTGGCGGGTTTGGGGGGGGTACCCRGACCTGSTTCA